CATTTCATAAAATGTTATCTGCTGTTTTCAGAAAGTCAGAGAAGTAGTTGCCACCCCATCCCTGTTCGTCCTGCTAAAATACTGTTCTGTTTTCACCCTAATTTGACACCTCCATACTTGGTTCCCTCCTACTCCATGCTGTTTACAACCCAGGCAGCTCCTGTTAATTTTTTTTTTTTTTTTAAGATTTAAGATTTTAAAACATGCCTGTTTCTAATCTCACAGCTTTTATGTAACACTGCTGGGACATACACGTTCTTACTTACCCAGTTCATGGTCGGTGTTTTGCAGACAATGAGTTCAAGAGCATACCATCAAAAGGCATAGGGCTGACGTTGGCCATGCCTCAGTGACGGCACAGCAGGCAAGGTTCAGTGGGGCCCTGAGTGGGGCATGTTTTCAATAATTGATCATTGAGAAGAAAGCAATTAATCTCTTCCACCGGCAGCTCTCTCTCCTTTTTTAATGAAAGGAGTCTGTGCTTTTTCCTGGGCGTACGTTGACGATCACCTAGAGCAAAGACAAATGGCACACCCGAAGTTAAAAATCTAAATATATCCTACTGAAGTTTGACCCCACCCATGGAGATTTTGTCGTCATTTAGATGTGAAAGTTTTGCTTTGTGCCTCCAGTGTGAAGTATTTGCTAAGCTGTTAATATGAAACTGACCAAAGGTTCCTTAAACCTTTAGCTATTTTTGGTTAAAGAGAGTAATCCCTTTGTCCAAGTATAATTTTCAAAAGTTAAATATAGGACACACAAATATAGAATGAGCATGTATCAAAGATTGATTTAATACATTAATGAGGGACCCAGCAGGCTAACAAAGCTGGTTCACAGGAGAACCAAAAGAACAGATTATAAAGGCATTCAGGAAGGAACGTCAGGGTAGGATGTCAGGGTCAGGTGTAAACTGATTAGCAGTCCGGTACGACAACAAAACCCGACAGAAATCATTGACATCTCTACTGGGCAGAAATCTGTAAGTTACCGTTAACTTTAAAGGCTGGGCCTTCAATCCATAATAAAGCGCTTGTCCAACACAACACCACTGCCTTGGGTAATGAAATAATCCTTGGGTGAGCCGTTAATACTTGGCAGGATGCTGGAAGAAGATGCTTCTTTCCCTTACCTTGTTTACAAGTTCTGGTTCATTTTTCTTATTATCTGAGTGATCTTCCACTTACATGAGGAGTGGTCAAATTCGTAGAGACAGAAGTAGAATAGTGCTTGCCAGGGGCTGAGGGAGGGAGAATGGGGCATTAGTGTTGAATGGGAACAGTTTCAGTTTTGCAGGATGAAGAATGTTCTGGTAGATAGTTGCACAATAATGCAAATACTAAGTAGCACTGAACTGTACACTGAAAAATGATTAAGATGGCATGTTATGGGTATTTTACCACAATTTGAAGCAATTAAATGAGCTGACACATGGGTCTATGAAGAAAAAGCTAACAATTCTTCGTCCTCCTGAGATAACTAACTTAGGAATCCTATGTTTGTGTTAACTTTTCCTTATTCATAAAAATGTATGTAGACCTTTTAAAAGGCGATTATTAAAATTCTTTACTCTGTGACATTTGCTCTTTTCACTTATGGATCTATCAAGGATGAGCCTCTGGGTTATAGATATTGGTCGAACTCATTCTCTTTAACACCAGCTCCATAGAATGGTCAGGCCATAATTTATTCAACTGCTGCTTTACTGATGGACATTCAGTTGTTTCCAGTTGTGTTTTGTTCTGTTTTTTGCCAGAATAAACATATCATAATACAGGTTGAAGGCTGGGATCTCAGTGGTGACAACAAGGAGGCAGAGGAGGGAATTGTTCAAAGGAATGTTTTGTTGGGAAATGGATTGGTTTTAGGGCCGAGTTGAAAATTTTGGTGCAAGAGCAGAGAATGAATAGTGCTGGAATGTGACTGAAAGAAGGAAGAGAAGAAGAACAAGGTTATGGGCAGATGGCATAGAAGCAAGAGGATGGGGTTTGTTTTTAAAATGCCAGGCTTGGGTGCCTGGGTGGCTCAGTCGGTCAGCGACCAACTCTTAGTTTTGGCTCAGGTTGTGATCTCAGGGTCGTGAGATCAAGCCCCTTGTTGGGCTCTGTGCTGAGCCTGGAGCCTGCTTGAGATTTTCTCTCTCCCTCTTCCCCAACTCATGTATGCTCTCGCTCTCTCTAAAAAAATACAATACAGTACAATACCAGGCTTAAGATAGGCATGTTATCTGTGTCCACTGGGCAGTGGAAAATCAGGGCCTAAGGCTTGGGGAAGACATCACAGATGGAGACATTGATCGTAGTTGGTCATAGACAAAGTCATAGTGGAGGCTATGGGAGTAAGTGAGATGTGCTCCCAGGGCAGCCTTATTCTAGAGGAAGGAGGGAACATTCATGGCAGTTACTTGTGTTTAAGAGTCTGGCTAGGGAGACGGAGACGCTGTGATCTGAGAGGGGGGAGAAATGGCGAGTAAGGAACTTTAATGGGCCCTGCCTCCAAGAAGGTCTGCAAATGTGGGTTTCCTTGTATGTCAACCAGCAAAAACAATGGCACAGTTTGATAAGCCAATTTGGGCCACTACTGACTAGGCTGAACAAACTCTCGGAGGGGCAGTTCAGCTATAGTTCGAGGACTCTCAACAGAAGTTACAAGGTCATTTTATGATTTTTTTTTAAAGATTTTATTTATTTGACAGACCGAGATCACAAGCAGGCAGAGAGGCAGGCAGAGAGAGAGGGGGAAGCAGGCTCCCCACTGAGCAGAGAGCCCGATGCAAGGCTTGATCCCAGGACCCTGGGATCATGACCTGAGCCGAAGGCAGAGGATCTAACCCACTGAGCCACCCAGACGCCCCTACAAGGTTGTTTTAAAGACTATTCAGTTTATAGTAGGACTATAAACTGGAGTTTATAGGACTTAAAGGAGCGTATACGTCAATGTCACCATCTCGAGTGAACCAGAACGTCTCACAGCGGTGCCCACGGAAGCAGCAAATACAGGGAATCTCTAAAACATTTACAGTGATCTCTGACGCTGTCCCCACAATCTCCATTAGCTTACAGATGATGCTGCTGCCACCTGATCTTTTTATAAATGATCTGTGAATTTTTAAACATACCCAACGTGATTGGAGGGAGAAATAAAGGCAATTAGTGATCATCCAAATGCATCATTCTGCCCCTTCTCGTGGCTTTGAGAAATACCCATGTTTGGAAAAGCAACAGAGTCATCAGAACTGCTGATGTCACTGAGGAGTGACATCCCGGGGAGCCTGCCAGGTTTGATGCTGGATTCAACTTAATTCACACACTATGTTCTTAGTCATACCCTAGACGCCATGGTTAAAGTTTCCTGAAGAAGAATCCAAAGACATAAAGATGAGGGCTCTCACCAGAAAGTGCTTTGTCATCTGGTGGGGAAATAAGATACGTTCTCTGAGGTATTCTGTGACCCGCCCCCCACACCCCAGGATTGTGTTTGTTGCTGTTGAAGGAATTTGCTAGTCCGAGTGCGCTGGTCCATACCTGAGTTCCCCCAACCAAGAAGCAGGTGTGTGCACAGTGGGGACGCGAGCAGGTTAGAGGAGGCAACAGGTGGTGGACGAGCTGTTTTCCAGGTAATGTGATCGGAGTCGTATTTATAGGGTGGTCATTTTCAGGCGTGGTGGACTCGGGCCATCGTCTTGGGTTACTTGATTATAAACTGCGAAGAAGGAGGTCATCACTGTGGAGTGTTGATGTAAACAAAGGCTGGTGAGTCCACAGTGGAAGGCTTATTTGTAGGTTCGTGTCACCTTCAATATCCCTAGTGGCTTGCAGTAGGGAAGACTGCCAGCAGAGGGTGGGAGACTTGTCAAAGTCTCAGTCACTATCTTACTGTGCTGGGCACCCCGTCATCCAAAGGCATTGATGAGTCAAAGGAACTAACCAGAGGAACACAAGAGATGTTCCACGAGGATTCTTAGGAAAGCAAGTTAGTGGTGGAGCTCAACTACCCCCTGCCCACTGAGGTCCTATTCCAGCTGCTTGCAGGAAGAATCCAGAATTCTTTGTCTAAGGCCCTTATTTATATAAGAGTCACCCAAGCTTGGGCATCGAGAGAGGAGGTTCCCAGCTGCTGTGCTGGTTGCCAGTCCTTTGGCAATGGAAACGCTTTATTCTCAGGGTCTGCCTTAGGCTTTATTTTTGGACAAGTCGCTGTGCCCTCCTCCAGTCTTGTCTGAACATGTAGGCCACGCCCAAGCCCCTGACAGCCTGGGACCTTGCACTATCTCCATAACCCACAGCTGCACAGTTTCGAAAGAGACACCAAAATCCAGACACAGCAAGGCAATTCCCTTTGGCATGTACTGAGGTCTGGAGTGACAGTTTTATCTTGGACACGTTCCCTTTTCTTTCCTCTTTTGTCTGTTCATTTTTATCTCTCCCTATACTATATAAATAATTGGCTTATCCTATTTGCTGCCCACGGAGAAAATTAAACGTCTGAGTTTTTCATAGCTGTGGGGAAGTGTTTCCAGAGCAGGAACAAATGGACATTGGACATTTCAGCTACTGCTTTCGGTATCGTGGGAATTTATTACTCAGCTCAGTAACAGTCCTGGACCAAACCAAGCAGTTGTGCGGGCAAGCCTTGGATACCTTTCCTAAATCACACTGCCAGGAATACCTTTGTTCCTAATTGAGACAGCACGAACCAAGGGCATCTTTCCATCAAAGACTGATTATCTCTGAATCTTAGACATACCACAAAAGTCATTGAGCCCCAGCCAAGGCATTTTACTTGTATGAGCTATTGCATGCTCCCAAAAGGAGGGAAACAGAAGGGGAGGGAGGCAAGAGAGCACTCCCAGCCCAACAATAAATAGCTCTTTGTACCAGTCCCCTCCCCTAACCCCCAGCCACTGACATCAGGGGGTAAGTTCCCAGCAGGCAGGGGCGGGCGGCGGCTGACCAGCAGCTTCGCGGGTGTTGACCAAGCGCGAACTTGTCTTTCCACAGTGTGCGGCTGTGACCTGGCACAAGGGGGCTTCTTCATAAAGAACGGGGAGTATCTCTGCACCCTGGACTACCAGAGGATGTATGGGACACGCTGCCACGGCTGTGGGGAGTTCGTGGAAGGAGAGGTGGTCACTGCCCTGGGCAAGACCTATCATCCCAACTGCTTTGCCTGTACCATCTGCAAGTAAGTGGTGGCTTCCCCGACGAGGAGCGCCGGGTTCTGCTCCTACAGCCTGGGATGTACGCCTTTTGTCTTGAGTTGTACTGCCTCGAAATAATCTTCTTCTGAGGCACCCATAGATTTAAAATATATATATATATTCCTTTTGTTTTATCAGTCCTCATCAAAATGTAATTTAGTTGGGAAACTTTACAACAAGTTCTTTTCCCAAGTAATCGGACTGATTTGAAGCAACTTGAAACCAAGTGTGAAAGCAACTCTGGGTCTTGAAACATTTTGAGCAATGAAAACCTTAGGAAATGGCATAACTGCTTGGAAAGATGAAGCTTCTTTGAAAGTATACGTTCATATGCGTATGTTTAAAAATAGTCTCATTTACTCTGTAGCACTCCTGGGCAGACCCTGCCCCATGGCCCAAATTATCCCCAATATATGTCTTTGTAAATAAAGTTTTATTGGGACAAATAAAGTTTTATTGGGACACATTTTGTTTGTTCCCATATGGCTGCTTGTGACTGCTTTTGAGCTACAGTGGCAGAGTTGAGCAGTCATGGCAGACACTGTATGATCCACAAAGTCTAAAAAATTACTTCCGGTCTGAACTCTCGGAGGGAAAAGTTGTCCCACCTCTGCTCTCTAGGCTTCTATCCTCCAGCAAGGTCAAATTTTTTCACTGCACAAACCAGCTTGGTTAACATGACCAGTCAGAGGGAAGAAGGGGAAAGTATGTGAAACGTGAGTAGGGAAATGTGGTGGTTTCACCATTGCTGTGTTTCGAATGCCACACATTATAGAAATCAAGATGACTTTGTTCCCACAATGAGGAGAGTCACCAACAAGGGTCAGCGGCTTTACTGACCTGTCCTCATCGGGCAGTCCCCTTCCTTTCCGTGTTTGATGGCTGTGTGCTCCATTTTGCTGCGGCTTTGTAAAGATGACGGTTCAGAGAAGGTGTTTTGCTTTGTTTTTCAGCATTTTATGTTTCTAGGCCAGAGAGATGTAAACTCTAGAAAGGTAAACTTCATTTTATCTAATTAGCTAATAAGGTAGTACTGACAGATGAACCATATAAGATCTAGATGAGGTATTATGGTAAAATTATTGTAATAATATTTTATAGTTATTATCCCATTTCTCAATTACATCTTTTTATTTTTTTAATTACATCCTTATAAATCCCAATTTTAAAATGCGGGATTATTGAACTGAAAATCTGTGTATATTTAATCCAAAGTAAAGTTTCCTCTTGACCGCTCCCTTTTCACTGTCTGCTTAAAGGCCCTTGGCTGGCATTCGAGAGTCCCAAGTTCTAGTCCTGCTTTGCTGGATGGTATGAATTAACTTTTGCTTCATCTGTAAGATAGGAGGCTGTGGACCAGAGTCGAGGGATTCCCCAAACTGGGATGAGCAGTGGGCCCCTCCCCTGGGGAGGGTCTCTTTACAAATATCTGTTTCTAGCATTTTCCCCCAACTCTCCTGCTGATCTGGTAGTTTCTAGAGGGTTCCCAAGTATGAGGCTACTCAGCCAGGTTGGAAGGCCCTGGCCCAGATAAATTCTAAGAGCCCTCCTGATCCTGACCTTGAGAGATCATCGTTTTAAAGTTGGTGATGAAGGACAAGCCTCTGTTAGTGACAGTCCTGTCCCCGGCCATTTGGGTCAGCAAAGAGGTGCTCACTGTTGCTACTAGCGTGCGGTTGCCACCGCTGCTGGCTGACGGTATCTGACCTCAAGTGGAGGCCTCCTTTATGGGTGACAAACTGCATCCTGGTTGAATCTACTTTAACCCTCTTAGCAATTCCGTGAAGTCAGCCAAGAATTAGTATCCCTAATTATGAGCGACTCTGAGTCTCAGAGTTTAAGGGACTTTCCCCAGGCTAACACTGCAAGGCTTATTAAGATTTGAACTCAGGGTTCCTGACCCCAAATCCAGCTCTGTGGATCACACACATTCATTCACACAAGTGGCAGAGGGGAGTGAAGCCATGTGGGCAGAGGACACAGTGGGCCGCCGGCAGAAAGAACCGAAGAGGGTCATTTATAAAATCACACAAGCCAGCGTTCCAGTGACCCAAGAACTGGATTTTGGTTTGTCCCCTGGTGGATCCAGGTGGAATTCGAGGCTAAACCTACAGGCGTGGCTCAGAGGCCAGAGGAGGCTAGCGTGCCTTGCACGGTCTACACCTGAGAGTTGGGGCCTCCTTAAATGCTGTGCCCCAGGTGCCCCAGGTGCTCACTGGCCTCGACCTAGTCCTGGCCCTGATCAGATGCAAAAAGCCCATGCCTGCGCTTCTGGCCCCGTAACTCCTGATGCCCCCTCACGGAGCGGACTGGGGGCTCGTTCAGGGTTCATGGGTGAAGCAATAGGCCCACTGGCATTCACCAGAGCACGAGTTTTGACTGTTAAAGATTGAGAAGCCCGGGCACCTGAGTGGCTCAGCGGGTTAAGCCTCTGCCTTCAGCCCGGGTCAAGATCTCAGGGTCCTGGGATCAAGTACCGCATCAGGCTCTCTGCTCTGCGGAGAGCCTGCTTCCCCCTCTCTCTCTGCCTGCCTCTCTGACTGCTTGTGATTTCTCTCTCTGTGGGTCAAATAAATAAATAAAATCTTAAAAAAAAAAAAAAAAAGATTGAGAAGCCCTGCACTGGTGGATGCCACTTGCACCTGCCTGGGGGCCCGTCTCCAGAGCTGGTCCATCCAGGCAGGTCGCTTAACCTCTCTGGGCCTTATCTGAGCAATGGAAAGTGACATAGTGGAGTGGGCACGTGGGGTGTTAAATTCCTTCTGACTCAGATGTGTGGGGATGTTTTGCTTGCGAGTTCTCCATTTCCTAACTGACAAAAATCACACGTTTGAAAGCTCACGTTAACGAAGGGTATTGGCAAATTGCCAATGACAAGTAAGCAGGCTTGGAAATTGTCACATGTGTTGTCGTTGATGACTTTTCTTTTCGAAAGGCTACCTGCCCCCTGAACTGGCAGGAGAAGAGACCGGTAACGCGCATGCAGAGGCAGTATTTTTGCAAACTCTGTTATTGACAAATAACACAAAAGGAAACTATCTCTTTGAAAAGAAGCTAATGGTTTTCTTTTTAAGTGTTTAGAAGCTAATAGTTTTCAAACAGGTAGTTACAGCACTGTGGTAGTTCTCCACCAGGAACTGGGTCTCCAGCACGGAAACACCCCGTTCACCCAGTCAGAGGTCTGGGACAAAGTCTAACTAGGTGCAGAAACACCACGGAGGTCTAGGGAAGTGAAAGTGTTAATGCTTGACCCGTAACCAGTTCTCCTGGGCAGGGGCCTTAAGCCCGAATAGGAATTTATGGCATTTAAAATATTTCTTCTTGAAGGATTTTCCATTTGGAAAATGGAAAATTTTTCCGTGTGTACCTGGCTAGGTGACTTGTTGGAACAATCCCTCCACTAATGAGTAGAGGTAAATCATTCCATTTACTGTCTGGATGCTGGTAGAAGCAGTGCCTTCTCCCTTCTCAAAATGAGGCATGTTTATTTGCTTGGACTATATCCAGCTGGCTGGCTTGGTTTAGACTGCATTTCAGACATTCTGGCTGGTGCTCTTCAAAGAAATGGATTGGCATGGGGGGCCAGCAAGCAGAAGGAGTAAGGAAAAGAAATTAAATTGCTGGAATAACCTTGAGGGCAATGTCTTTCTGTCTCCAGACGTCCATTTCCACCCGGAGACCGAGTCACGTTCAATGGGAGAGACTGCCTTTGTCAGCTGTGCGCACAGCCAATGTCGTCCAGCCCTAAAGAAGCCTCCTGCTCCGGCAGTAAGTGTCCCAGCCACCCGTTGACATGAGTTGCTCGTAGCTCAAAGGTAGCTTAGGCAAGTGCCTTCCTTTCTGTGAAAGCAGATGCTGAGCATAATCGCATCTAAGGCCATTTGCGATGGTAAAACGTGAAGCCTTCGCTAAAACCCGGGCAGTGAGAAGCATCTCCCTTATGTCAAAAAGGCATAAATAGCATTGGACATCAAACTGCATTTTGAGAGCAAATGAAGGAAAAAGAAGGATAACACTTTATATGAGAAATGCCCATTCCCTAGTCATGGTGGTTGAGATGTGCAAACATTTGGTGGTGAAGGAATTGATAGCTCTGTGTATTAAAAAAGCTGTCCCCCTTGGGACACCTGGGTGGCTCAGTCGGTTAAGCGTCTGCCTTTGGCTCGGATCATGATCCCGAGGTCCTGGGATCAAGTCCCACATCGGGCTCCCTGCTTAGCGGGGAACCTGCTTCTCCCTCTGCCTGCTCTGCCTGCTGCTCTCTCTCTGACAAATAAATAAATAAAATCTTAAAAAAAAAAAAATGCTATCCCCACAGTGCCTAGAGCAAAGGTGATGATTTATACTTACCCTTAATTCTTTATGTCTGTTATCCTTAAATATTTATTCACTTGGAGGGTTTCCAACACTGATTTATTGCACAGATAATTTGCTGAACACCTATGTTGTGTGATGTTGTTCCCACTGGACATCCAGGCGTGAACAAAAAGTTAGCACCCTCCGGAGGCTTACTTCCTAGCAGGAACAGGCAGACCATAAGTGCATACACCAAAATATCTAATATCTAAATTAAAGTAGGAAGAAAATGCAAGGTAGAGGGGCGGCATTTATAAGGGGCAGTTGAGGGAGACATGTCTCAAAGGTGACCCTTAAGGAGAATCTGAAGAAAGTGTGGGAACAAGATACATGGGATTTGTAGTTCCTTATGACAAGGTCTTGTCTGACGTGTGGGAATCCAGAGACACTAACTTGCTCCCAGAACTTCCCCCTGCAGACTTCCCTCATAGAGCTAGTAGCACTGTTTCTTCTAGTAAGTAACACTGGGTAAGTCAGTTAACTTTGAAGTGAGATGTAGTCTGATCGCTGGCACCAAACAGTGAAGCTCTACTTCCGCTCCTTTCCTGGTGGCATTAGGAAGTAGACCAGAGGTTTGCCTTGGTTTCTGCAGATTTTGCCAATCTTTGGGATATCAGCACCAAATTCCATTAAGCCTCTCCAGTCTCAGTACATAAGAATGAAATAAGCCACTTCTGCTCTAGAGGAATTCTGGGCATCCATAGCAGAGAGTCCAAATCTTTTTGTTAAAGAAGAAGAATCCTTATACCTTTTTTTCAAAAAGAATGTTCTGACCAAAGCATTTGCATAGAAATTGGATTTGACCGTTGGGAGAAAAGAAGAAAAGAGATGTATTTGTGCATCTTATTCAACACAGCCGGATCCTTAGCATGTGAATTTATATGTCCTATTAATAAATACTGGCAGCCTGAATAGGACAAGAGCTATAAGGCAACGCCCAGTCCTAGACCGTAGGAGAGCTTCACACTTCTAACTACCCTGACCCCAAGCAGGTCACTGGGGAGGTGAGCCAGGGTGGGAATTGTCATCCCACTGTGTGGGACAGCCTACTTCGCAAGTACATTACCAAAAACTTTGGAGGAGGTTTTCAATCTAATAAGAAAAAGGATTTTGGAAGGAAAAAAAAAAAGAGAAAGAAAAAGGATTTTGTGAATCCCAGGAAAGAATGACAGCTGCTAATAGAGGGTCATGTCCAAAGGCCTGTAATAGGAATGACTATGTCCTCAAAATCTGTAGAGTCCTTCAGTCCAACGATCTTTTTTTTTAAGTCAACTCAACACCCAGTGTGGGGCTTGAACTCACAACCCTGAGATCAAGAGTCACATGCTCTGCTGACAGAGCCAGCCCAGCGCCCCGTACCCTTCTTGATAGGTGAGGTCATTAGGGCCCACGTGCATACGTAAGGTCACCGAAGCTGTCCCTTAATAAGACAGGATTAGAGGCAGGTCTTTTGAGTTTTGGGCTCTCTTCTGTTTCATCTCATACTCCTCATTGTTTGGTTTAAGAATCAGACGTAGGTATTTTTAAAGGCTTCCTGTCCTATCTCCCATCCATTTCGGGGATGGGTTTTCTCCTCACATAATTACTGAAATGGTTATTCCAATTTCTAATAAACATGATTTTGCTTTATGTGTATTTTCCATTTTATATGACATCCATGTGATACACATAAGGAAGAAATAAAAATTTTAAGTATAAATATGTATCTTACCCAAATTTATGGTATCTTTAATGCTAGATGTAATAACAATTGCATGTGTGCACATTGTTGGACCAAGTCCTATTTTCTCCTTGGATGAGATCTCTTTTCTATGCTACTGTTTTGGTCAGAACAGTTTTATTTTCAACAAGTACTTGTCTATTTAGATCAGTACTTAAATAACATTTATGGGGCACGTGGGGTATTAAAAAAGAGCTCTTATTATGGATACCCTAGTGGGACAGGCACATAGATACTAGAGCAAGGGAATTCTCGGCAAGCTGCTGAAATCCACTAGAGCGTAATTAGAAGACACTTGGTCGTTATTTGTGATTCCGTGAGAATCGCCTTTATCCTGATGTGACTTTGATTCTTATTTTAAAAATGTCTAAAAGTTGGCAAATCACCCTAAATCAAAGTGAAAGAGGAAATGCCTCTTTGATGCTGCTCACAGAGTCAATGAAGTACATGAGAGTTAAGGTCCTCTTTCTCCTTTGGAATGTTCTTTCCAAAAACAAACTTGCTCTTCTGAACTGCAATTCTGTTTCACGTTGGGTGGCTGTTTCCCATTTTCACTGCCTAGGAGGTGGGACACAGTGTGAGAAGAAGTGAAGGGTGGTCCACAGATCTAAGTCAATGATGCGATGAGAATTTGCACAAAACAGTGTCTGCTTGACCACACAAAACAGGCGTGGTTTCTACTACAGCCCATTGGGAGCTACTCCGCTGTCCTCCTCTGGTTTAGAGAGGACCCTCAGGGGCGTGCCTGTGATCTCACCTTACAATCATTCCTTTAACCTTTATATTTATTCTATCTTCTTCTTCAAGCACTCATGTAGCATTCACTGTGGGTCAGGTCCTGTATAACTGCTCCATGAATTTTAATTCACTTAATTCACGTAACCACCCACTAGGTTGGAACTATAACTATCTCCTTCTCATAGAAGAAGACACAAAGGGCCATAGAGGTTAATGTGTCCAAGATTACACAGATGGTAAGCAGTGGAGCTGAGTTACAGACCCAGGCTGTCTGGCTGGCTCCAGAGGCCGTACTGGCGTCCCTGATGTCTGTTTCAAATGGTGGGCGTCACTGTCTGCAGAGCCTCCGGCGATGGCCTGACTTGTCAGCACATTTACCTGAGTGTCCTGCCTCCAAAGGCTGTGCGCTTTCTACACACCACAGCTGCCTTCCTTTTGTCGCCAGGTTTGAGGAATGGAAACCACGAGGAAGTTATTCCTAAAAACTACTTCCACTAAAGATGACCTCCCCTGAATTAGTTAAAACTCTTGCTGTATCTGGTCTGATGTAATTTGAATTCAATAAGCAATAAACCTTCTATAACATGGAAATAATAGTAAAAATCACCTCAAAGGGTTGTGATAAACATTAATTAAACTGGCTTTACTATTGAAAAAAAAAAAATCAGTTGCCTATGTCCAGCTGATCCATGCTTTAAAAATAAAAATTGACATCCAGAAGACGTTAAGTCCAACCAGAAGGTTATGGGCACTCCTCTACAGCTCAGTTCTTCCCCAGTCTTTGACAGAGTTGAGCTGGATTCCCATGGGGTAAGGAGCCCTGTGAGGGGAAAATATGTGTGTGGCAACCTAGAATGTAGGGAACCAGGGTTTGGATTGTTGTTTGCTGCACAGCTCCTGTCTATTTCAGGCACCTGAGCAGGAGTGGGCTGCTGTCTACCATTACCCTTCCCATTTCAAAGGGTGTCTGACTAGTGTCTGATTGCATGTGGGTTTGGTGGATTGACACAATGACCACCCACACACAAATACATCCAAACCCATCTTCCTCCCTCCTCCCCCTCTGCACGGCATTGTCATTATTCCAGCTGCAATTGAAACTCCTACAGGTATCAAGGCAGATGCTCGGCTTGGCCTGAATTTAAATCATTTCAGATAAAGAATCATGTGCACGCTTTCAAAGGGGAGGAAGAACTTTCCTATTATTTTATGTTTCTTTTTATAGTTGCAAGATGACTTTTATTTTATCTTTCTGTTCCCTCCCAAAAAATCATCTGCGGGTTGAGTGGGATTTGTCTGCTGAGACACCTAACAGTGGGTGGGGTTGTGATGATCTGACACTGGTATGTGACTGCCCGGATCAGGCTCTAGCTCTGCCGCTTGCTGACATTCTCTTTACCTTTCCAGCCTCCATTGCCTTATCCATAAAATGGGATGGTAATAATTACCTTGTAGGATTAAATGAGGACATATATGTAAATGCCGTATTCTTTTTTTTTTTTAAGATTTTATTTATTTATTTGACAGACAGAGATCACAAGTAGGCAGAGAGGCAGGCAGAGAGAGAGGGGAAGCAGGCTCCCTGCTGAGCAGAGAGCCCAATGTGGGGCTCAATCCCAGGACCCTGAGATCATGACCCGAGCCAAAGGCAGAGGCTTTAACGAACTGAGCCCCCCAGGTGCCCCTAAATGCCGTATTTTTATTTAAAAAAAAAATAACTTACTGTTCAGGCATTATTTTTGAGTGTTTGTTAGAATCATCACTACTTCCTGTGTCTCTACTTTTTTCACTCTGCTGTTCATGATAGCTGTCTTTATCTGCTCCTTTGATATTTTCCACCAGTATAAAAACCAGTGAAGGAAGAACACATCCAGACATTCTAGTCCATGGATTGTTGGAGTTTGACTCATGGTGATGGGTTTTGCGCCAGATCTGCTCCTCCTTTTTTAGACAT